TTGGTTTGTGATGTCTGGAAGAATGATTTGGAACTTTGTATTACTGGTTCGGTGTCTTGTTTCTGATATGAATGAAAATAATGTGTTTTTACATTTGTTCATGTTTATATGGCTTTCATTGGGAAAAATCAAATTTTGATTTCACAATTTTGCTATACGTAGCATTCCCATTGTTTTAATCCAACTTTACGTGTGTTGATAAAGAATTGCTGACGATAACGCTTAAAATGTGTCGTTAATTAAGGAATGCTACAGCTTGCAAGAATAAGATTCTAACATATTTCAAAGCCCCTATATAAATGCCTATGTTTCAGACCAAACAATAAAAAAATTAGACCTTATTCATTGCTGGCTTGTTTAACAAGATATCACATAATCTATATTGGATCAGTGCTGAAACTAGAGCATTTATACTCAGATCTGAAGCTTGTAAATTATCATTAGGATTGTGTTGTGGAGTCTGGATGAGCACAGATAGCAGGGAAAGCAGGGCCAGCAGGACACAATAGTAGAGAGTAATTCAGGCGTGGTGAACGCATGCCTGAAAGGCGCAACCGCGACTGCAGACATACGACTGCAGTGGGTGCGGTGCGCCGGCATCCCTGCGCTGAAGTCTGTAGCGCCCCCATGCCATATTCGGAGCACCTATGTGCCTAGTTATAGAGAATGCGATATTCCCGTGCCAAGGAGTGCCACGAGCACGCCAAACGCAGTTTCTCTTCTGTTTCAGTTTAAAGTCGAGATTTCAAGCGACGAATGTAGACTCTCTAGCGTGCGGATCTTTCGACAGGTTTCTCATGAAAAGAAAAAGGTCGGGGATGAAGATTTCAAGATGAATTTCTCTTTTGAGATCAGTAGGAAGGTTTTGGACTAGAGTCATGTAAGTTGCATTCATTATAGAGAGGAGATCTAAATGTGTATTTTGTATATTTTCTTGTTCCTCAGTGGAAATTTCTTGGGAGTGTGGCTCCATGATTTTTTTCCATTTTTTAGTTTCTCTTGTTAAATCCTAGTTTGTTTTTTCGGGATTATCATTGTTGTGCTTCCATTCAAATATTTTGTTCTGATTTTCTTGAATAAGAGCGATACTATTTATGCAGTGTGATTTTGATTTCTAATCGAATTGAACTCTAGTAAAAGTACATGAAGAATTTCATTTTCCCCAACAATTATAACATTACAGCTTTGCAGAACTAGCGAGAGCCCAAAATAAGGGACGCTCATCAATAAAAACCATAAAGATCAAGTAATGAGAAGAATTCGCAAGCTGTAAACCAATAAATAGTGCATTGGAGATGTAAACTTCAATATATAAGCATAACATAAATGCTTGAGGAAGAGAGAGTTTAAGGCATCAAATTTAGACCAGCTATAAAGCAGATTTTTTTTTAGCTCTACATCTTGGCTCTTTGAAAATTATTAAATATGAATATATGACAACCATTAGTTATATCTAATAAGTCATGCTCATAGAATTTCTAATTAATTAATCATTTATAAACCAATATAACACAAAAAGTCAATTTAATTTTTCCTCTAAAAACATGCACATCCATTTGTTCAGACAAATAAAACCGACAGACGTCAGACAAATACAAAATGAATAAATTTAGAGAGAAAATAAAAAGTAGAATTTATGTTATTTCCAACAAAATGGTAAGAATATACATGAGTGGTGAGCCAAATATCATCTGTGACTAATAGAATATTAACTTCATCACATGCGAAACATTATGATAAGAATTTATAATTATTAATTTATTATCAAATTCTCATCATGTTGTACATCAAAAAATGACCTGCACGAATCTCAAATCAGCATGACGGTCAAGATCAAATGCTAATGTTCATAAAGCCAACCAGCTGGAGAACTCATAGTCGACCGGCCATCCCAAAGCCGATCGACTAAGGACTTATGTAAGTCGACCGAAAAAAGACGATCACCTACAACTAAACCAAGGACTGATGTCCCCAACAAACTCACAAATATCACTATACACTCTCAATGCTCCCCTTAAAGATCATCATGAAAGAAACATAATTGTTTGACTCCACGCAAAAAGAAAACATGTGACTAAACAACTCAATCGACCACAAGATGCACTTTCGCCGACAAAAAACGATGCAAGTCATGACCGTTGCGATGGAGTTCGACTTGATCACCACAAGAATAACTCTGTACCGATTGAAAAGGGCCCGAAGTTCGCGACACAAAGAGAGTCACATCCCAGATCAAAATTGATCCTGATAGACCACAAACTCGTTCTTGAGTCTGTTGGTCGCCCTCTTATCGGGATGGCGGCTTTCAACTTGATGGCTGGGACAAAAATAAAGGTCTCGTCCACAAAAGTGCCTCAGATGAATACTGAACAGAATGCTCGACCATAGCCACAAGACTAAAGGTCTGGAAGTTTTCTTGGGAGCCATCCAAAGATAGAAAGCTCAACGAAAAAAGAAAGCCGAACGAAGAAGCAGAAAACGCGCAGAGGAATCATAAAGTAAAAGACAAGAGACACGCTCATGGGTCTCTCAACCCCTATTTATATGGATTCAATGGAAGCTCAAAAGCAATCTGATAAATTTGAGAAAATGTCATATCAACATAAAAATTGAGATAAACAAAAACAAAATATTTTATTTATTCAAAAACATAACTACAAGAGAAACTTAGTCCGACAAAAGGTACTTTACAACTTGGCCCTCGGCCACTTTGGTCAGAACCAAACCTCTCCTAACTAGCCTTCTATATAATGTTTGGCCGCTGAGTTTGAACTGATTCACTTGACCGGCCTTAGAACAAATACTCTGAACAAGCGAAGACCGACTACCTCCCCGCGCATTTCCTCCAGGACAGCTCTCAAGACCTCATCTTGCCGAACTAGAACAACATCCAATTCTTCTAGGTGGCGAGTCAAAGTTCTAGGGGACAACAAATGCCCTTCAAAAGCTTTGCCCCAGGCCACAACAGGATTGAACGAATGGTTGACCACACTCTCCTTGCTACTAGTTGGTGCCAGGGGAACAGGGTCTATCATCATGGCCGAATTTTGGCTACCACCAACAACCAACAACTGACCGACACAAGGGTCCTCATCTACAAAAAGTAAAAGTCACAAGTAAACAACAAGCAGATCAAATAAGGAAAAACTCAGGGGATTACTTACCCATAATACGATTCACTGCAGATCAAGTAGTCCCACCCACGTTGCAGAACAAAAAGTCATCTGACGACTCCTTCTCGTCGACCAAAGGGTCACTTCCCCCGACTTCTTTTAGATCGCTCGGAGGGGAAACATTTGCGACCCCCGGCTGAATCTAGGCCTCAGTAGGGGTCTTCATTGACGGATCGACTGTCGAACCACCCGACTCCTTCCCAACGCTAGACAGAAATCGCACTGGAGCACCTCGAATTGAAATAGATGACTCCTCTACCCCACTCGCTCAACCAGTTTTGGCTTCTTGACCAGTTTCTTTCTTGTTGGTTCACCCTCAGGCCGGAGCGGTTTTATCCCATGGGTCGCCAACATTCTGCCCTTGTCGATAGGTTTTAGTGTTGAATCAGACCCTTTCTCGATAATGGGATCACTGACATCAAGTGAAAGTAAAGAAGAGGAATAGATTTTGAGAGGACAAAGCTGCTCCCTTACTCCTTATATATAAGGGCCATGGGCACGAAAATCCATGAAGTCTATTTATTGTGTTAAACTATGACTAATAAGATTCGGTTTATTGTATTTAAAAATTTTCTTGTCCTAGTCATAGTCTTCACTGTCCGGGAGCAATAAAATTGAGAAACTTAATATGTACATCCAAAAATAGCCAGCACGAATCTCCGAGCAATTAACCCGCAACCTTCAAAATTTCAAGATAAATAAACTTAAAGAATTGATACCAAACTCACATATACAATTAATGAGTATATAACAGATGAAACATTGACATACAAAATACTAAAACCACTCATATTTGGTAACAAAATCATCGAATCCGCAACAAGGTATATTAATGGATAAAATATGGTATTTTACAATCAAAGCTAGGTTAGTGGCCGATATAATATTGAATAACTTGAAAAAAAATAATCTAGTCAAAATAATTTGCAACTCAAATATGATTTTGAAAGTGCAATTACTTTGAAAAATATCAAGTTCTGCCAATTGTCAAAATGCATGAAATTATCAACCAGCATGTGCTTACGAAACAGCATAGAAGCTCATAATCCACCCAAAATAAATAAAAAAAGTTACATTAGTAGCAGATTGGTTTGAAGGAATTTGAACGGATGGTATTTTAAATTTACTTCAAATTTTATATTAGGCATAGCCGCATAGGTCATAATTTAATTAGCAGAAAACTGGATTTACCTAAAAAATGAGAACAAATAGATTTCTTTTTTTCATTTATAATTCCCCAGCCAACATTAGTGAAAAACTGATAAAAAATTTATAACAAGCAATTCTATTTCAGTATCATGATGAGTATATTTATGTAAATGATTCTAAATTACATGTTTGATCGATCCTATTTGTAACAAAAGTTAAAGTGGTCTATAAGATGTATTTCTGTGCAAAATAAGTCTTTTTACCAATATGTAGTAGAGTAAATCATTGGTTTGATGATTGGCTACAATTCTTCAAAAATGGTGTAGCAGCTATAAGTGACACTATCATCATACAAATGACAGCATTAAAAGAAACGTTTACTGTTAAAACATGATTTCAAAATGACATGCTGGTCTGAAGCATGTTCATTGAAATGCTCACAACCAAAAGGATGGGCATTGGATTTCATGGATGAGGAATAGTGTAAATTTGGCAAGAACAACCCTGTTTGGGATCAATTTTGTGCTCTTTTTTATTTTTATTTTTTTCTTTTATTTTTTAAAATATGTTTGTTTAGTATATTTTTTTACATATTTTAAATTTTTTCTATAAAATAAAATAAATTTTTTTTTAAAACACTGAAAAAAATTTTTAAGTATTTTTTTTGGTGAAAGTGATTTTTTTTAGTGTTTAAAAAAATTATATCTTAATCAAATATGTTTTATTCCAAATGAAAACATCAACAAAACAAACTAAATAGATAAATAAATAATAAAAGAGTGGGATCACTTTTATTTTTTATTTTCAATTTTTATTTATATTTTGTTTTGTTTATGTTTTGATTTAAAACAAAATATGTTTGACATACTTGGTTAAGATATGATTATTTTTTAAAATGCTCAAAACACCTAAATATTATTCTGAGTGTTTTCAAAAACATGATAATTAGTTTTTGGAAACAAAAAATAATAATATGTAAAAAAAAATATGTTTTTCAAAATAAAAGAAAAAACAAAAAAATAAAAAATAAAAACAAAATTGAGCCCAAACACAATATAAATTAATAAATGGATTATCGGGGAAGAGATTTTACCTCTATTTGAGGGATTAGACAGGGTCGCCCGGCTTCTCTCCTTGTTATCTACATGTGGCAGTAGAGAGGGGCCTGAAAAAGAGAGAGCTTTGTAAGTAAACCTGAATATTACACTGATAGAGAGCTGTAAGAGATGCATTAGCCAATGTAAAATTATTAAAACTCTAAAAGGCACTGATACAATATTAGATGTGATGTACAATAGAGATAAACAAAAGACAATAATCCACAAGTACCAAAACTTCAGCATAAATTAGCCGGCTCAAGAAAAAAAAATAGCAAAAGCATATATTTTATTCCAAACACTAATTGAATAGCTGTAAACATCTGAAATTCTATAAGAAAATTAGTGAATGAATATAATTTTTCAGCAAGAAACAAAATTCACCATGGAAAGAATCCAGAATATCGAACTGGGCAATATTTCAATGACACATATGGTAACACCACTCACTAAGCAAATTAACATCAAGAATAATAATAAAAAACACCCATGAAAAGATTCAAGCTTCAAGTTAGTGCAAATAAAATTTCCACCGGAAGTAGTTATCAATAACCACTAAGCACTCCCATATGCGTATCCGATGCTGCAGAAACTTGGCTATCGTGGCAATACCCATATTTCTCATCTTGTCGCTATCTGTTATTGTAGCAAGGAGCTCTATATTGGTTGGAATCAAGAGATGTTGGGCTAGACCGTAAAGATATAATGGAGTTAAAATAGATGTAGGACAGAAAGGTTGTCTCATATCATGCATGTACTAAACAGAGAATGAACAATAATAATAATAATAATAATAATAATAATAATAATAATAATAATAATAATAATAATAATAATAATAATAATAATAATAATAATAATAATAATGGGCCATTTACATAAATACCACCCCATTCTTATGCATTTACATATCTAACACCAAAACTTTACCTTTTGCACTTATACCACCAAAAAATTTCGTATCACATAAAAAATATCACTATTTTAACATTTAAAAAGTGAAATACACCATTACATGCATAGATAAGATGGCATATATGTAAAAATTATACTTTAGATGTTAGATAAATAAATACATAATAATTAAGTGTTATGTGAGTGTTGAGTCCATTTGAGATGTAGGATCCCGTTAGTCCGTGTAGACATACAATTCGGTAGAAACCCCATATGATCATAAAATTGATGAGGAATTGAATATAAAATGGAGAGAGAGACGGATGAAAAATCTCTGATGAAGACTTTGGAAAGCCTATATTATTTTGATCTCCAGTAAGCCGGAGATGGATGATTTCACAATGATGCCTCTGACTCCCTCCAGAGAAACAAATAGATTATTAGAAAGAAAGAGAGAAAGATAGAAAGATTCCCAGGTCTTGAGAAAGGGTTCCAGAAGTCAGCCCATATTCTTCTTTTTTTCTCCCTTTTATACATGAGGGGCAGCTTCTCATAAAATAATCGATACAGTGTTTCTAGTTTCGTCGGTAAGCTCCATCAGTTATCTTTGATGGAAAGACTTTAATGTAGATAAGATCAACATCTGGTGCACATACCAATGTCGGCAATGTGATGTTTGTCATTTTGCCTTGGGCAGTGGGTTTGGCCTCAAAAATTGAAAGGCGGATTAAATGTTGAGCGAACGGATATTAAAGTACCCTTCATCGGCTTCAACTTGTAGATGCAATGCAGTTACTTTTGGTAGTGAGTTCAGTTAGGTCACTTCGGCTGGTCAGCCCCACTTAGCTACTTCGATTGGCAGACCCGGTTCAACCACTTTGTGTTGTGAAAAACGACGGCAACAAAGCAAAAAAAAAAATAAAAAAAAATCGCAAAACAGAAAAAAACGGCGGAAACACACAATTTACGTGGTTCGACAAAATTGCCTACGTCCACGAAGCTGTAGAAGATTTTACTACTTCGAGGAATTACACTGTCGAGAGTACCTCGACGTTTATAAGAAAATCTCTATTTTCTTCTCTCCCTTCCTCTCTCTTTCTCTTTTCCTCTTTTTCTCTTAACTCTCAAGAGGACTTGACTTGGCCTTGTTTGGCTTTACTTGGCTTGCATTTCCTTTAAACCAAAAGAGACTATTTATAGAAACCATGGGAGTGGTAGGTGGGAGGTAGGTCAACGGTAGGTGGGATATAGTAGGTAAGTGGTAGGTGGGTGTGGTAGGTGAACGGTAGGTGAGATACTTAATTAGGAAGCTAATTAAATTCGGTGGACCGGGTCTCCACATTACCCAACAATTCTCCCACTTGGAGACTGAGACACTGAATGCATCACATACTGACTACAACATCTACTAGTTGTACCGATCTTTTCCTCAAACATAATATCATTCACCTCTGCAACTCAAAACCCTTGTCTTCATGTCAGAAGACCAGCTGAAGTTGAGCACAACTTCAACTTCTCACGAGTAACACCCTCAGTTGGCATATCACCGTCAACGTAGCCTCGTACCACCAAGCTCTTTCCTGGGTTACTCTTGTATTTGCTTACAACTCCCACTGCATGAGCAATATCATGCCCCTGCTGAAAGCTCTTTTCAACAAGTCCAGTTTTGTACCTTTTACTGCCACCAAATACAGTCTTCACCCGATACACCCACTTGTTGTGTAATGTCTTCTTCCTTGATAGAAGTTCAGTCATCTCCCAAGTCTGATTCCCTAGTAGAGAATCTGTCTCCTCCTTCTTGGTCAGCTCCCACTTGCTCGAATTCTCATCTTGCAAGATTTATTCATAACTTTGTGGTTCTCCACCATTTGTCTGTACGAGATCTGGTTCATAACTCTGTGGTTCTCCATCATTTGTCTGTACGAGATCTATTTCTTGCCTTTGGCGCTCTACCACTTTTCAGGAAATTGACATTCTTCTACTTCTTCATAATGCACTAATGCACCTCTGACTCCTGTGTCCTCGTCTGAGTAAACCTGTAGTTATATATAGTGTGTCAATTTTCTTACCCCGAGTAAGTACTAATGCTCCTTTGGTAACCTTCCAGGTGTTATCTGAGAACACTACCGCATGACCATCCTCATTAAGTTGTCCAACAGAGATGAGGTATTTCTTCAACTTAGAATTGTGTCTGACCTTTTTCAAAGTCCATTTGCTCTTGTTAGGGAGTGTAATATCAACATCTTTCATCCCCACCACGTCCATAGCTTTTCTATCAGCCAGATGTACCTTCCCAAAGTTACCTGCAACATAATTTCGCATTAACTCTCGACAGGAAGATGTATGGAAGGAAGCCCCTGAATCCAGTCCAGTATCCAATCATCAACAGAACTGTAAACTGTCAGAAATAGTTCATCATGTATTTCTTCAGATACAACATTAACGCTATCATTCTCCTTCTTCTTAGGATTCATGCAGATCCTTTTTATGTGACCAGCCTTGCCACAATTCCAGCAGGTTGCCTGCTGACCTGATTTTGATTTTGATATTCCACGGTTTGAGTTTCTGTCTTGTCATCTCTCTCTGGAATCAACAATCAGCGCCAAACTCGAACTCGAGGTCTCGTCAGAATCTTTCCTACGCACCTCCTCAGCCAAAATCAAATCACGAATATCATCATATTTTAGCTTAGATTTACCTGCAGAACTACTAACTGTCATTTTCATAGCTTCACAGCTATTTGACAATGAAGCCAACAATATCAGCGCACGTATCTCATCATCAAAATCAATTTCAGCAAACAACAACTGATTTGTGATAGTGTTGAAATCATTTAGGTGTGAGCAACAGACACACCTTCCACCATTTTCAAATTGAATAACTTTTTCATCAAATACACCTTATTATTCGCCGATGGTTTTTCATACATACCTGATAAAGCCGCAATGAGATCTGCAGTAGTCCTCTCCTTGATGACATTGCGAGCAACCGATCTCGACGGGGTTAATTGTATAATCCCAGAACCTGTCGATCCAACAGATTTCATTCCGCCTTGTCCATCTTTTCTAGTTGTTTTCCCAGTAACGGAAGATGAAGTTTCTTCCCATAGAGGTAGTCCTCTATCTGCATCATCCAGTAAGCAAAATTTGTGTCATTGAACTTCTCGATCCCCGATGTCATCACTTCATTTCTGCCCATCGTTCTTCCTTCGATTCGAACCAAAACTCTGATACTAGTTGTTGTGAAAAAAGACGGCAATAAAGAAAAAAATGGAACGAGAAAAATTGCACGCAGAAAAAATACCAGAGCGACACATAGATTTACGTGGTTCGACAAAATTGTCTACGTCCACGGAGCTGCAGAGGATTTTACTACTTCGAGGAAATACACCGTCGAGTACCTCGACGTTTACAAGAAAATCTCTATTTTCTTCTCTCCCTTCCTCTCTCTCTCTCTTCCTCTCTTTCTCTCTTAGAGGACTTGGCTTGGCCCATGGCATGGCTCCTCCTTTAAGCCAAAAGAGACTATTTATAGAAACCATGAAATCGGTAGGTGAGAGGTGGGTGTGATTCTTAATTAGAAAGGGTGGGGGGATTGGGGAGGTGGGGCGTAGATGGGTGTGGTAGGTGAGCGGTAGGTGGGATACTTAATTAGAAAACTAATTAAATTCGGTGGACCGAGTCTCCACATTACCCAACACTTTGTCTGATGGGCTTACCTAGAAACTTCGGCAGGTAGACCCAGTTGAACCCACTTCGGCCGATAAATTCGATTTCTGTGAATAAAATAAAAAAAAAGTAATTTAAGAATTACTATGATCCAGTATTTCTGTATGCAATAGCTAAATCTTCCAAAAAGAATTTAGTTCAAAACTACAATTACTATGACCTCATTTGTACAAATATGCATATGCTAAATGAGTTTTCTCAAATAAGATATCTTGACCTAATAAATGATAAGAATTTGACGAATGAAGGAAAGTTTAAATTTGTATTTTGTAATTATAATTATTCATTCATGCTGATTTATTCTCAAAGTTGAGTTTAAAAATTAAATTAAATTTAGTTATTTAAAATTTTGAATTAAGGAGGTGAATTTTTTGAATTTATGTATGTTTAATTTAGCCCTTTGGCTATCATATCATTCCATTCTTAATATTTGCAGTGAATATTATTATATCCATTATTGCTTGATGTCTTTCGCATTACATTTAGAGATGTTCAATATTCAATGCAACACAATAAGGCCCAAATAAAAAAAAATCGTAGTTATGATTTTCATATTATTCATATTATTGCTATGTGGTCATTTCATTATGTTTTTATAATGTTAAAAATCCTTTGAGTGTCATGATAAACAAGTAAAATGAGTAAGATTTCAAAAATGCATGAAATTATATCAGTGAACCAAAGCCTTCAATCATAAATGAATTATTAAAGGCTTCATTTTATGATTAAAGAGAGATGACAAATATGAATTTAAATGCACTCGTGCTCCCACAGGATCTCTCCTTTTATCACTCTTCTTTATAAGTGTTGGTCGACAAAAAATGGTGAAAATATAGCTTTATTATTGTGTAAAGTTACTGTTGAAATTTTTGGAACAAAAAATGGAGAATTTTATTACTAAACTATGTTGAGTTGTTTTGAGCTTACATGACAACATCATGGTTATGCCTATTTATGGGCATGAGAGACTAAATCTAGAAATTTCTAAACTTTTACATTTCTTTCTAGAAAAACTCACTCTATATTCATTCTAATTAAGTGCCTATTTGAGACAGTTGCAACTATTTGAAGAAGCAGCCGTGAAACTGCTGAAGAAGAAACTGTTGTTGAAAAATTGCGGAGACTATTGTAAAAAAAAAAAAAATTGAAAAAATCAGACCACATCTTTCATATTGCCACAACAGGTAGATAAGTATGGTAGGAAGACACAATTTTTAACAGTAGTTTTTTGAGAACGCAATTAAAACGCGATTTTGTCAAACAAAAAAAACCTTGGTGAGACACTACACTGCCAGCGCAACGCTGCTGCAAATACACCCTAAATATTCTAGAGTATTCTCATTTAATAGAAAGATCCTAGAATTTCATACTTAAGACTAAATATAACATTCTAGAGTATTGGAAAAATAAGCATCAATCTTAGCACTCCTTGATGCGAATTTCGATTACTTTGATTCCAAACTTTCCTTTTGGAAGTGCCTTCGTGAACATGTATGCTAATTATTATTCAATCTTGTAGTTGTTGAGTTTAATTTCTTGATTGGTCTTAGCTTCTCTAATGAAATGATATTTGATACCAATATTTTTAGCTCTATCATAAAATACAAGACTTTTTTGCCATTGATTTAGCTTATTTGTCGTCGTGATAGATTTTTGTGGCTCATCCATATCTTCTAGTTTATATTTTGGGTATATAGTCTGCTTGTAGTTGCGGCAACTGCAATATATTCAACTTCAGATGATAATTGTGTAACATTTGTTTGCTTCTTTGATGCCCTATAAAATATTTTTGAATCTAGTGTGAATTTACATCATGAAGTCCTCTTCATGTCATCCATTGATTCAGCCTAATTAGTGTCAATAAATCTAATTAGTTTTAAGTTAGGAATAAATTCATACCGGATGTCATAGTTCTTTGTTTGTTGTAGACATCTATAGGGCTATAAACGAGCCGAGCTTGAGCGAGCTCAGGGTTGGCTCGTGTTCGCCTCGTTCGAAATAGCTCGTGTTCGAAATCGGCTCGTGTTCGAAATCGGCTCGTGAACAGTGTGTTCGTGTTCGGCTCGATTTAAATATTTGTGTTCGTGTTCGGCTCGTGTTCGGCTCAAAATTGGCTCGTTAAAGTAAAATTGAGAAAAATAGATGTCAAGTGTGGGATTCGAACCTGGATCAAATCTATACAAAAGAAGACACTAACCACATTG